ACTTCAAAAGGCTATTGTAGGGCTGGAAAAGGTGTGAAAATAGGCAGCTAAAAAGATCAAGGGTCTGGAGCGGTTCCCCTATGAGGAAAGGTTATGGGATCAGGGAGCATTTAGCTTTAAAAAAGTACATAAGGGGAGACATGCTAGAGGTGTATAAAAATATGCATGTTATGAGGACAGTTGATAAGGAGACAATACTATATAAGCTGTGTCATCCAATGAAGTTGATTGGTGGGAGAGTCAAGAAGGATAAAAAGCAGTGCCTCATCACACAATGCATAGGGAACTGCACCTTGTGCAGTGATGGCCGCTAATTTGCATGGCAGTAAAAGGCGATTAGATAAACTTTATTACATTTTTGCACCACCCGATAACTGAAACTCTTTGGGCAATTCACCACAATTCCTGCTAGAGAAGGTGATCAATGACTGCTAGTCCTGTCTATACTCACCCACTACTAAGGAACAGCAATGGTACCACAGTCATCTGCTGGCATTCCCAAGGGAACCTGGATGGCATCTTGTAAACAATGCTAGATGAGATGGACCTTCGGTCTGATCTTTCATGGCTCTTCTGTATTTCTCCTTTGCCCCACCCAGCAAAGCTATAACTTCCATTCTGGTTTGTCATTCTAATAGCCATGGAACATTAAGAACTGCTTCCTGTGTTTGCTTTCCCTCAGCTCCTCCTCAACCCATTTTTCCTTAAGCCTAAGGACAGAGATTATCTTGTTTTTTTTATTGATATTTAAGTAACTCCAGTACCCTTTTTTTGGCTTAAGAGCAGGATTGAAATACTATAAATAATATTAAATACAATAGTAGTTCATTATAACTGAAAGAAAAGAAGAAATGCAGTGGAGGGGAAATCGATGCCTTAACACCATTTCTTTCTTTGTGAAACAAACAAAATGTGACTAAGAGAATTAATGAGCAAATGGAGGGAAAGATAAAGAAAATACCAGAGCACAAGAATCAGATGACAAAATTGTTTGAATTAGCCATGAAAAGGAAGTGGCATAAGGGCAGTGATTCCAGAGCTGCTTATTGTATGTATATCAATACAATATCGATCTTCCTCTATCCATCTTATTAGTGTGATAGGAAAGAACCTCAGCAGGCCTCAAGCTTGTGCACAATGCTCTCTTTCAATAGAGCTGCAGGGAAATATGGAAATTTCTACTTTTGTTTTAGATTAACTGCAGTCTAGCATGTCATGGGGCTTCTGAAGAGTGTTATAATCTTAACAATAATCTGCTGAAATAAGCCATCAGCATAAAATATGGTTTGAGTTGTCTTGTTTCAAGTAACCCTAGTTTAGACTAACTAGCCACAGTTGGGCTCAGTTCTGACGATATGATGACCTCTATTTAATAATAAATTGAAGCAAAAGCTGCTTCTGAACTCTTCCAAATCAATTGTTAGCTAATTACACATGATAGAACTGTGTCTGATAGCTTCCTTTACATGAGCATGATACGTTTGTATAAGAATCATGTTGCTCAGGAAAGAGGTGTATTAAACTCTCTTTCCCTCCCTCAGTTTCCTCACTCACATCCACACAGGGAGCAGAGTGAGTGTCTTTACTGGAGGGTTTTTTTTAAAAAACCCACAACCCTTTGTGTGCTTATAGGAAGATTTCAGGAAAAAATGTGGGAGACAGCTTAAGCCTCTCATGGTGGTATGGTCCTAATTTTAATTGGGGCCATGGAAACTGGCACAAGAACCACTGAATGTTTAATTTATCCATGGGTGAGGGCAGATGGGCTGTCATGCAGACTCACTGTAGAGGCTCACCATATTTTTATTATGATAACTATGGTTGAGTTTTGCAAGTGTTGATTACATGACATTCAAGGATGTGGGTTGCCTGTAGGCACAGAACAGCTGCTTTGTAGCTATGAGCTATAAACAAAACTCCGGGTGAAGCTGGTTGGATTCAGAAGTTATCATGTATTGTCTTAAGGTAATGTGAATTCTTTTTGCCAAAGGTAGATCTCCGTTTACTTTAGAAACATAGATAATTTCTTTAAGGATTAGTTTTGCAGCACTAAATAGATTACACAAAGGAAACTCAGTTCTTTTTGGCCCCAGATCTGTTCAAGTGAAGCTTTGTTATTGTGCCCTGTAAACCAGTAATAGTACTTGTTTTTAACCATACAGACCCCATTGTGTTCAAAACATGTTTGCTGGGCATTTAAATTTGTTGTTCCCTTTCTTCTCTCAAGTGAGAGATTTTTAAAAGTATAGATATAAAGAAGATCAAGGTGTTTCTCCTTTAACATGGTCAAATTTCATCCCAAACCAAGGCTAAGAAATTTCAGTGTAAATTTCCCTCCATGTGAGTAGGGTTTGGAGAGCTGCTTCAAGCTTGGGCTGCATGTATGATATGCGATAACCATAATAAGAAATCAGAGAATGGGCTTTCATATGGTCCTGATAACAGAACTTTTCTCAATGGAAGCTGTTCACAAATTCAGGTCGGTCTGTCTGTCTGTCATATTCATATTCTGCCAGGTAGTCCAAAAGGTTCTCTATTAAGATTGTGCCCTGGCAACAAGTTTTTAGGGAACACATGGAAGGGTATATGAGCAAGTCTCCACTATTCGAAGCAAGATTGTCCTGTTGAATGGATGCCACTATCTCAAAGACTTCTTACATGTTGACTGAACAAATGCGAAAGTTAGTAATAAACTAATGGGAACTTAGTAATAAATGAGTGAGGTCTGTCTAGCACCAATTTATCATCTTTCTGGTGACAAGTTAAGACTTTCTTCCACTCTCTGACATTTGACAGCATATGATAAGATTTTTCTCAGGTCTTGGTTGTTTTACTGTTTGTTGTGCATTTTTAGATATTTTATGCAAATTAAAAATGCAAAAATGCAAAATAATTTAATATAATCTTTGAAAAACATCCAGAAAGCTTTGGCTGTAGGGCATCATAGAAATATGCTAAATAAATCAATATCAACAAGTTGAAGCATTAAACTTCAAAGCATAAATAGCACTAATTTTACTGATTAAAGTTTCTGTTATCCATAGTTGAATGTGAAGGTCCCAGACTGCCACCTGAATCTGCTTCTGGGAGAGACGTAGGGTAAATTCCAATGTAATTAACAAGTCTTTCAAATAAAATCCCTGTGGACCAGATTTCCCTGCTGTATAAAGAAAAGTTTTTTGTGAGTGAGTTTCCCCATTCACTTAAAGACTCATGGAATTTCCCTTCCATTAAAATAATCAGAAAAGACCTGTTCATTGGGGTATTTCATGTGTACTTTGAAGTTTCATTGATCATAAAAAATAATAGGTAACTTTTGCTCATTGTTTTATATTGGGATGCTAGGAGACACTGAACATACAATGTTTCTGTAATTTTATTAGGAAAAAGTTATATTGAATAGCCACAAGGTAAATAACATATTACAGAATAGTATCATTTTTCAAAGATAATTTACCTTATAAAGGAAAATATTTGTTATCTGACAACAGGCCATTACCACCGATAAAAACAGGTTAGAGGACGGCAGAGGTTGAGGTGCCTGGATGGGGGTCACTGGAGAGGTGGGTGTGGGGTTGGGTGTCCTCCAGGGGATGGTGGAGGACAAAAGAACCTGGAGGAATGTTGTCCATGGTGTTGCAAAGACTTTGTGACTGAACAACAACAACATTGTTCATGCTGAGCTCAGAACAGTACCTGAATGGGGAAAAGATACTGAAATCAGGTTCCTTATGTGAATTTCTTTAATATTGGTAGTTGTTTAAAAGTATGTTTTTTGTGGCTTTTTCACATTTATATTGAGAAAAATTATACCCAAGTGAATCAGAATGCTCAGAAAATGAGGTATTCTTTGCTTGATGGTTGATGCTACTTATGATGCAGAGAACATGAATCTGCATTGCTCTGAGATGTGCAGGAAAAGTATCCTTAACTGATTCCTTCACAATGATGAGCCTGTTGTATTTTCAGGAAGTGCTCCCAAAGTGAATAGAATAATGCGCTTCCAAAATATGGGAATGGGCCATAACTCAGTGGTATAATACACACTTTGTGTGCAAATGATCTCAGTTTCGGCCTTGGCATCTGTAGTTGGGCTGAGAAAGACTCCTGACTTAAACCCTGGAGTGTCATTGTGATATTACACAATATTATGTAGTTGGACCGGAGGTCTCACTTGATGCAAGGTAGCTTCCTATAACATGAAAGATCTTGTCCTTCATTTGTTGTATAACAAAGGTGCAGAACTGAGCCATTTTGGAAACTGAATTCTGCCCTTCAGGGGTCCTGGTCTGGCCCTCTAAGTTTATGCCCCCTTCACTTTTCTCCAAACTTCAGTGCTGTATAGTTTCCTGGCTTTTGTGCAGTATCTTCCCCATTATAACAGGTTGAAATGCTTTTCTGAGGACTTAGCTACCATTTTAAAGAACTTTCAGCTAAAGTGTACTGGTGTTTGGCTTCATCTCCTTTGCTTTTGCTGCCTCCACTACTGGAATGAAGCCTCACGTGAGCTTCTCCGAAGTGTAATTTGGCCATCTGGTTGAAAGGTTCTGCATCACTATTGTAAATGATGCACTTGTACACTACTACTTCCTCCCTTAGGAGGACAAAGATGCTAAACTTTGAAGCTGGTTTCCCAGGAGTGCATGCAGCACACCTTGCCAGAGTTACCTGTGTTATGGATATTATTTCAGACATCCAAGTGAAGTAAGGTGACTGGGCGACCACTAGGGAGGGTCCCTAGAAGGCACTGGCTTTATGGCAATGTGGGTGACAGAGAAAAAGTTATCATCATAAGCTTGCTTTTTAATTCCCTGTTTAACGAGCTGTGTAATTTGAGTGATACTGTAAAATACCAGGCTTTAATAGAAATGTTTGTGAGAACTATCCAGAGCGCTTGCTTATTGTCTATTATCGTCTATATAAATGCTGTAAATAAAATAAATAATGGTATTTTAAAAACATCCAATGGAGCTAAACGTACTGTTTTCTATGTTCTTTAGGAGAAGAAACAAATGGGCCTTTATTTGAAAACATATCAAGCACAGATTCAGAACTTCCTGGCAATTCTGAGGTACGGTATAACTGGGGATATGTTTTGCTTTATCAAAATTTCATTGATAAATGAAATTTCATTTTGATATGGATGGAAAGTGTAGTAATACTGTGGTAGGTAAAACTGCTTTCCTGTCTCAGGAAAGCAGAATGATTTAAACTTTTGGAAATTTGTTTAATCACTTTTTCTCACCACACCAAACTTATGTTATATATGTTTCTAAACAAGTTTTTGTATAAGGAAAATACTACATGAATGTAAGTTTCTTAAATAATGCTGAAGTTTTCTTAATCCAGCTGTGATAAGATAAAGCTATCAAGATATAATGGAGATATCTTGAGTGCTGTTTTTCTTTGTAAATATATATATATACACACATAAATATAAGAAAAAAAGTTTTTAAAAAAGCTTCAATGTCTGTTGCTTTTCATGCAAAGTACAGTCTAGTCATGCTTAAAAACATTATTTGTTATATACATTTTTTAGCAGAACGCAGCTATATCCTTGAAAGTGATGAATGATGGGCATCAGCATATTCCTTTTAGGGATGTTTTACCTTCTTCCAAACCATACCTCAGTATTTGGAATTATGAATTACTTGTTCCCAAGCACAAGTCAATATTAATGGGTTGATTTTCTGAATTTCCTGAGTTTGTAAAGATGGCCTCTTATGTGCATCTTTCTCTTCCTGCCTTTCTTTGCTTTTAAGGCATGCACTTTAACACATTTTAGGAGCTGAAAGCATAGCACTTGCATTATACCTCCTTTGCAGTTTCTGATACTTTCAGAACAATCGTAAACTGGATCAGGGAAAAGTGCTGAGGCAGATCTAGGAGGGTGAAATGTACGTGCATGGAAGGGGGTCGTCTTTTTGTTCTGGTGGGGTGAGAATAGTCCTGGACCAGCTTTGGAAAGCCAGCTTCAGCCTGCATACTGAGTACCCCATTCTGGAACTTTCTACCTGCTCCCACCATGCTCAGGGCTGTTGCAAATAACCTTTGGAGTTGGAGTCCCTGTCTAGGTGGAATCTCCCCTGCCATTGGTGGTCTTCCTTTCTGCCAGTGCAAGTCAGTGTTGGACAAGTTAGAGAACATCCTTAGCCTTTCCTGCTTTCAACCATGTGGCAGGAGGAAGAATGCTTTCCAGATTAATTTTTTAGTTAATTGAGTTCTCAGCTGTGGAAATGATCCTTGAAAGCATGACATATATTCACTGAATTTTGTGAACTTATGTTAAACAGAGCTTCCAAGGAATGTTGAAATGATCATACACATGACTTCATGATTAAATAAAGGAAAAGTTACTTTGAAACCTAATCTTCTGCACATAATATTTTTCTGCCACATGCTCTGGGCTGTTTCTTTTTAAAAGTTTAATGACATACTCAAATAAGGAATTTTTATCCAGGTGGGGATAGAATTGCGAGAAGTCCTGATTTTTTTCTGGCATGAAATGCACTATTGTCCAGGCAATCAGTTTTCCCCACATATGCATTTCTCAGCATGAACTTTCAAGAACAGTATAAAAGTTTAAAATGAACTTCTGCATTTTCCATTAACTCAAGAGACCAGCCATTTGAATGTGCAGAACTTCTGGTTCTCATGGTCTGCATTCAAGAGAAACAATATGAACAATTAGAATGAAGTCCAGTAAAGCACATTCTGAAATTGCCTATAGAATCCCCAAAAGAAAATCAGAAGGCTGGGATGCTGTGCATTTCCAGTTTGCAGAAGAAAATTAAAAAATAAAGCCTGGCATATCTGTGCACCCTCAATTTCAGTGTTCATTCAGCTGTGCAAGAGATTCATATTTAAACAAATGGCTCCTAATCCAGCAAACTATATGCCCACAAAAGCCTGACTGTATGTATGGATCATCTCCTAAGGGTGCAATCCTATGCAGGTTTAGATGGAGAAAATCAACTCTTTCCTGTCTGAATCTGACCACAGTAATCTGTGATCTGGCAAAGTTAGGTGAGATATGTCATGGATGCAAGGAAGCTGTCAGTCCATTGCCATTTATGTACTCCCATGTAGTAATAAAAGCAGTGCTAATCCATGAATCTCACTGAAAATCTCACTGCTGATTTCTTTGCATGGAATTAACTTGAAGTGCTAGGAATTAAATATATCTCCCTTTCCCACTCAGGTTGAAAAAAACAAATCACGTTGAAGGTTCATTTTCTCAAAGGCTGCCGTTTCCTTTGGGGAAAAGGCCACGGCTCGGAGGTGGAACGCATGCTTTGCATGTAGACAGTTCTTGGTTTGATGCATGGCACCAGCTCAGGTTGCAGGAGATGTGAAAGGGCCCTACCCAAGTCCCTGGAGAACTTCTGCCAGTCAGAGTAGGTAGTACCAAGCTAGATAAACACATAATTTGACCCAGTCTAAGATACTTTCTATGTCCCAGTAAAAGGTGTGTGTTCTTATTTTTGAAGCCTCTACAAAGCTGAGTACATAAGTACAGCTTTAGTGTTTGACCAATTTCTACAAGACATTTATCTGAAACAATTTTCATTAAATGTTTTGGATTGGTAGAATACCTCCTCATGTATTTTCAGTACTGTATACATGTACTGACTATTGAAAGTAGAAGGGAGCATACCATTTTTTCATTGCTTCAGTGAGATTATTTATGACCAGTATACATTGGTATCACGGGATTAAAACCGCAACACTGTTTGAGGGCATATCTATCCCACTGGTATTTATAGTATAGGATAACACTATCACTGTGTCAGTGCAATACCCCACACCAGCCTTCCCCAGCCTGATGTGATCCAGATGTTTCATTTTACAATTCCCATAAACGCTGATCATTGGCTGGGATTGATAAGAGTGGTAGTCCAATCCATATGGAAGACACTGTGACAATGAACACAATCCTAGACTGCTACAGAATGAGAAAAATATGTTGCCTCAAAAATGCACCACCAAGCACACACACGCGCGTACATACACACACACGCGCACACACACACGGTATGGAACAACAAGAAGACCTACCGTGTCCATGACAAGAACACCAGTGCCATTCATTGCCAATGTGTAATATTGCTGTAGTGGTGACATGGTGAACTTGTGGAAAGGTTGTGGCTAATCGAACCAAATCAGTTGGACTGACCAGGAGAATCATGTGGAGTAGTTCTTGCTGGTCCATGCTTTCAGATCACACATGTGCGATTAGGGTATTTAAAGGCTCCCCAATATTCTCCTATCTTCATTCTGAGTTATGTTGTGTAGATGAAGAAAAAATGCTTTGTGTAGTGGTGGTAGTGTTGATAACGATTATGGTAACACCAACACTGCCTAATCTTGGAAGCTAAGCAGGATCAGTCCTGGTTAGAATTTGGATGGGAGACAAGTCCTGAATGGAGCAGACAGTTGGACATGATGGCCTTCTAGGGCTCCTTCCAAATGTGTGATTCTATGTTCATCATAATTTCATCTCAACACTACCCAGTAGCCAAATTAGTCCAAGCTGTTCACAGATTGGCCTAATTGTGTTTAAATAAATAGGGACTATTCATGGTCTGAATTAGGAAGTATAAATTCTTTACAGATATAGATTTCTATTAAGCCATTGATAACTGCAGTGAAATCAGTTGGTTCAATTAAATAAATTGAGGAACTTGTTAGGGTTTTTTTGCTCATACTAGAAAATATAATATTTCAGAGTCCCAGAATGACACTCAGGCTATTCAAAGTGGCCCCAAGGACTCGTGCTCTTTTTTTATGGTACTAAAACCCAGGATTGAATGCAGTATTACAAATTGCTGAGAAACTCCTCTTAGATTTCAGAGCTTGGGTTAGAACTACTCCTGTTTCAGAAACAAGATCAGAACTCCTCTGGTTATGTGGACCTATTTGACATCAACCATATAAACTGTTTGGATTCTGGCTAGAGGGCCATGGATCCTGTTTTAATTTGAATGTGGATGTCAAAAAACCTTTAAACATGAGACAGTGTAGAGAAAAATGCAAGAAGTTAATTCAATTATGTTTAAAGACAAAAGTATTTTTGGTGCCAAGATGGGTCACATTTCAGTTTATGTATGAGAACATTAATCTGCCTTAGTGGCAAAGCAACAGCAGACAAATTACTCAGTTCTTTGAAATATTATCTGAAAATATAAATACATTTTGAGTTCAGGTTTCCTAAGAAAATGTAAATTTAGTAGTCTTATGTAAGTTACATATATTTCTGCATATATGATAAATAAATTTGAAGTTCAGTTAAATGGCAAAGATTTTAACTCTTGTTTCTTGAAAACTGGTTACACTGTATACAAGATGAATTATGGAAAAGCTGCTAACACAATCTTAGGATCATTGAATAGTATCATCCAAAGGGGGCAGTCAGGCTATTGGGTCCAGCCCCCTGTCAATGCAGGACTCCAGACAAAAGCATCCTGAACAGATGGCCATTGAACTGCATCTTGAACGCCTCCAGTGTAGGAGAGCCCTGCCTCCCCCATGGCCTGCCTAGGTCATACCCATTTCAGCCACCATTTAGTATGATGTAAGTAGTGTGCTTTGCCTAAAATCAGTTCTGCTACACTTCCGTACTTCTGCATCATATCCACTGGGCTTGTCAGAGTGAACTATCCTCTAATGCAGGGGTCTCAAACGCAACTGACCTGGGGGCCTCTGGAAGTAGAGTCTGGGTGAGGCTGGGCCGCATCAAGGATTCCCCCACCGTGGTGGTGGTGGGCCGCTCATCCCGCGGCCGGCCCGGGTGCCGCCGGCGCTTTGAAGCCCACAGGGCCCCTCCCTGTGCCCCACCCGTCCCGGCAAGTGGCCCGCGGGCTGCGAGTTTGAGACCCCTGCTCTGACGTATTAATTATATTATGCACTGTTGCCTTAATGAAGCTTATCTTATTTAAGCCCAAAACATACCTTGTATTTCCATGTTTGTACCAGATGCTCAGTTGCAAACCAGTAGCTTAAAGCCAGCTTAATTTGTAAAGTTCAGTGTCACTGTCAGGCTTTCTTTATCTAGTATTGTAATTTTTAGTCGTGCACAAAAAGGCACTTTAATGACATTTGCACGTCTTCCTTCGTATGCTGCACCCGTATTGGAAACTAACATACCACACATCTGTGTTAATGTTTCTTCATGTGGCAGGCATGGTACATCCTTGAGGATGCCAGTTTAAAAACATGTTTTGTGATGTTTCACTACTACAGCTGTTGATACACCTCACACTAAGCATCTTTTTTGGAGCACTAAATGGTACATCATCTTTTCATACCAAATCCATGTCTCCTCCTTGAAGCACAGATCAGCTTTCTGATTTACATGGTAGAATCTGCAAAATCCTTTTAGCTTCAAGTGAAATATATAAAAATGTGGGCAATCCCACCTTTCCCTATAATTTCAAGAAATGGCATAGAACTGATTTGGCATAAAATGCTTTTTACCAAACCCCCAAATTATGTTGACTTTGCTGTGTTTTTACAGCAGGAAAAACAAAAAAGCAAACAAAGAACCCAAGCAATTTTTAGAAAAGGGAAACAAAACACTTCCAAATATGCAGAAAGTAACCATGTAAAACATAAATGATTGTGATCTATGTTTCCAATCTTATCTAAGGAAATAAAGATGGTCTGGCTAATCTATTGTTTCCTTGGAAATTAAACTGAAATGATTCATGACGGTATTTTTGAAAAACAGAAAGCACAAAGCTTCGTGGTTGCTGCTGATTTTTAAAGCATTCTCTTGCTTTTGCATCAACACTAACAGCATTATATCTTCCCCCTGGTGCCACTGGCAGGGCCTAAGTACAACTGAGACTACATTGCTCATCTCTGACCTTCAAGGGGTAAGCAGCAACAGTGGCTGTGATTATGCATCTCTGCATGAATGGTATTGTCTCTTACTATGTTCCAAAATACAGCAAAAAAAAGAAAAATTTTCCAGTTTTCCTAAGACATTGGAACACCATTTTGAGCTTTTAAATTAAAGGATATCCAGTACAGAATATGAGATTCTACAGTTTGGTATAGCATTTTAAAGGATGATTATCTAAATAAGTGTTTTGTCCATCTGAAAATGAAAAGGACTCTCCCTGAAACATTAATGTTGCAATATTTTTGTTTAGATAACCTTCCACAGAACCTTTGAATTGGACAACTACATACAAGAAAATAGAGGCAATATAAAGTAAAGAATGTATAGGAATTATGCTCTTGGAAACTGGAAAGGTTTTTATTTTTGTTGTTATTGGGTATGCTGTGGAATGAGTTAACATTATGTGTTTGGGTCTATTCTACTATTTTTAACAGCACTTTGGGCATTTCCTACTACCGTGGCTGATCTCTAGGTCAATGGGAGCCAGCATGCCATTTTAAATAAGCTGTTCTTGACCACCCCCTGCATATTCCACTGGAGGAGCAAGCCTAATTCATGAGCAGTTAGCCGGTCATAGGATCATTTGAAAATGGAACTTTAATGCCCTGCATCTGATTTTGTATAATATCCTATTGTATAATATCCTATTATAAGACATAATAGCTTATATCTTATTTATTTTCATTTAGCACTGTAACAGTATGCAATTAGTAGAAACAGGATGAAATTGCCTCAGCTGATATCCTCCTCTTCCCGTTATAATGAAGTTACCTTCAGTGGGTCTTGGAACTGCACCCTGTAAAATTTATGTTCCACTGCTCCTCCAAGAAATTAAATGTAGCTCTGAGGTGGTTTCTCTTCCAGGTGAACTTGGATCCCTTAATTTCAGAGTGGAAACTGTATGAGGTGACTACTGGTTTCATACATGCACTGGGTATTGGGAGTACTAACATACTTCTCTATTGTAATGGATCTTGTCCTGTCTTTGTTATCTCTCAAATAACAGATCAGATTTTTTTTAACAGGAAAGTCTTGATAAATCCTGGGAGACTGTAAAACAAATTCAGTATTTACATTCAGTTTTGTTCTGTCTGCATGAATCTGTATGTGAAACAGTGATCTGCATGCTCTTACCAAAGGTCTGTGAAGGTTTGAGGAAGGAAGATAAGAATTAAATGGTTTCCTTGTTTAAATTATATGATGTCAGCTTTATGTCAATGCAATTTATGCTGAAATAGCTTAGGTGAAGTAATGTGGGGGGGGGGGTAACTTGCACAAATATTTCTCCCCTGATCTTTTCTAATGCATCATTCATTCTAATAGTGTGTGTATAGTTCTAGCAAGAGTTTGATGTGAGCGTAACTTATTTACCACCAGCAAAGATTTTGTTAAGATGGTGGGGGAGGAAAGGCAAGATCTATGGGGTGGCCTTTTTCCTCTATGGGGTCTCAGTGGTGTGGTGGACAGGGAACATGGAAGAGTGCAGGACTGGCACTTTCCCCCAAGCAGGATAGATCTTTGTAAAATGTGATGTTATATTCTAGAGTACCAGAGTAATTACTGTACCCTGGGGTGGGTAATTGTGGCCTTCTAGTTATTGTTGAAACTGTGATGGGAATTTCAGTCCAGTAGTATGTGAAAGGTGACAGGTTACCCATCCTGGGCACAGAGAAAGTCAAAAGTGGAGGAAAATAATGAAACAGAGTCCAGGCAATTCCTTCCCCTTTTTGTTAATGGAGTTCCTCACTAGTTGTATAAAGGGTAGCACTTTCTTGTAACTGGCTGCTCATATTTGTATTTTGCCCCTAGTAGTTACATCCTTGTACACCTGGTCTAGATAATGGAGTTTGCTATACAATTCTAGGGAAAGAAAAGCCGAGAAAAGAATTTGAGACTTAAAATCAAAAAGGTAAAAACGGAGTGAGTTTATTAAGGAAGGGTAAAAAGACACTTTTAAAAAGAGGGTACCAGCGTAAAGTGTATGCCAAAGTGGAGAGAAACAAAAAGGAACAATGAGGGGACGTGGGAATATGGGAATGAATAGGAGAGAGTGAATAGGAGATGTTACAACTCCTTCATCTGCTGTGATGATAGAGCAGAATTCTTGGTTATGAGACAGATGCAGACAAAGGAAGGTGAGACATTCACAGACTGGGCAAGAACATGGTCTGATGAAGTGTACTGGCAGATGCCCAGCCAGAGCTTTAGGAGAAACTCAGGGAGTTAGTGCAATTCTTTGCCACAATATGGCAGGAATGAGAGGTGATGGGGTATAAAATGGACATCCAGTTGGGAGCTTCAAGTCAGACCTGGGTAAAGTCCGTTCCAGGAAAAACTCCATTCAAAATTATCTAACTTCTCCTGAGCTGGTCTTCTCTCTGTCCTTTCAAGAAGATCAGGACCAGACCGCTTTCTAACTAAAGTCCTTATCTTTGGCTAAAGCTGACCAGCTAGCCTGCATTTCTGATGCAACGAATTGTAGAAGTCAATAGGAAAAGATACGAGCAAAGTTGAAATACTGGCCATTAGGGAAATGTGATTAATGGTATGAAGTTGTCCCTAACTGAATACCTCTCCTCCCTTCCAATCCAGAAGGAGCTGACTCCAGCTTCAAGGGGCAGCCTGCTGCCCTTGAACCAATCAAGTTTGTTAGAGACCGGTTCAGCACATCTAGGAGACCTGTTGCTCAGAGCAGTCAGTGGCTAAGGCACTTGCATTTCCCTTCAAAGAAAGATAATTAGGATGGGCTCTAGTCTTGACAACTAAGCACCATTGCTTTCAGCTGCTAGCAAAGTGAAGGCATTGGGACAAAACAGAGTAACTTTGCCATTGACGGTGTTTTGCCAGGGTACAGAGTTTAGGAATCAGTACAGTAAAATGTGATGCTACTGCAGCTTCTCCTTACCTAGTGACCTCGAGTTGTTCTGAATTACAATTCCTATCATGCCAGAGTATTGGCTTTGTTGCCTTGAGCTGATGGGAATTGTAATCTAAAACCATCTGGCAGGCCTCAGGCTGGGGAAGGCTATGTGAGAAAGACAAGAACAGACATATCTGTGCTGTTTTTATCCCACCCTGCAGTCTTTTTTTCATTTTAATGTTTAATTTCACTGGAAATACATTCCTTCCTATGAACATCAGCGTTAAAAACTTAAACAAGCTAGGCTTGAGTGTTTTTTAAATTTCCCACTTAAGCCAATGGGCTTTTGGAATGCTGATCTTGGGCTGCACCACCCCATACCCTGTAGTACTTTCCTGATCAAGGAAGATTTTCAACCAGGCTTGCACATCCTCTCCCTCTGTGGTGGGAGGTGCGAGAAGATAAGAATGAGTCACCCAGAAAACTCAAATTCTCTGCCAAGGAAGGTGCAATGGTGTGAAAGCAAGCAACTCACTCAGTGCCTGCTCGTCATAGGAAGGTACAAAGAACTATGCCACACTTGAGGTTTCATCCTCTGACACTGGACGGGGGGCGGCGGAGCTTTTGTTACACGGGTAAGAAAAGATTCTTACAGAACATCAGGATGTATGACATCATGACACACTATGCAAGAGGCAAGCCCTGACGTGCAATTTGATATTATGCTTGCAAATAATGAATATACACAGAATGACATCTCGAATTCAAGGAGCTGTTGTTCAAGATTACATGGATGAATTTATTGCTTTCTGAGGAAATGGGACATTCATTTAGGGTAGGTTTGCCTATCCCTAACATACATTTTTGAGGCTGCAATCCAAAACAAGTTATATGTGTTTATTTTTTATGCAAGAGTTAATGCAGGGCCCCTTGTTTTAGCATTTATAAGTCACCAAACAGATCAAATGAGCTCCTGTGATCCCTTACTATTGCATATGCTAGCTGAGGTGTGCATTGTTCCTTGCCCAAAACATTTGGAGGATGCAAGGTTGCTAACCTTTGCTATGCAGGTTTACCGAGAACTTCTAGACATTCATAGGATCGTTCTGTTAATGCACTCAAAGGTGCATCCACACAAACTGTGAGCATCTAATGGTGGGAGTGATGAGCAGTGCTGGCAATCTCAGCCACCACCACAACCTGTTCCCTTCATTTTGCCAAGATAGCCATCTTCAGAAGAAGGAAGGAGGGAAACTGGGGTGCAGATTGGAACTCGCATAGCCACATAGCTTCCTTCTCTCCCCATCACTTGACACACCCCCTTTCCCCCTCTGAGACTCATCTGTGGCCTGGGTGAGCCACTCATGTACTTCTTTCCATGCCCGCTGCAGAGGGGCAGGCAGTCTCAGAGCTGGAATTCCAAAGACTCCCATGTCTTCCCCCACAATATCAGGCAGCCATAGGACTGCATCCTAGTATTTCCTTGAACATTTCTGTTGTGGATGGTTTTGAAGAGGTTATGAGCTTCTTTTATCCTAACCTCATTTTAGATAGGATCATTTTCTACAGTTCAGTAAATAAGTCTGGCATAATAAAATGTAACTCCTTGATGCCTACAAGACATTGTGTTGTGAATTTGAAGACATGGGGAAGTATTGGTGTGTGTTTACTGCTTTCTCTTGTTATGGTCCATTGAATATACTTCTTTGGGTTTCCTAGTTACATATCCACATCCTAGAATGAAGTCAGTAGGCCTTAGTAACATTTGGTAATCTTTTAGAATACAGCATTTATGTACCATTATCTCTTTTATGGGAAGTTTTCTAAGGTGACTGTGTACGGAGTAAACATTTTTACAGTTCACATCTGGCATGATAAATGTAAGAGAGATCAAAGCAGAGAGAGAGAGAGAGAGAGAGAGAGAGAGAGAGTTAATTCAGTGGTGAAAGCTATAGCCGAAAAGTGCTTTCCGTGCTGTCTTATTAGTGGCTGACTTTGTATTTGTTTTGGAGTTAGGAAATCAACCAGCAGTCTTCAGGGACTGAGTTGCTAAAAGTTTGTACACAACCTATTTGGCTGGTCAGAGACTGCTGGCTTGTATTATACTTTAAAATGTATGAATGCAGAATCCGAATTTTTATCATATTCTGATGAAACTTCAGGACAAAAGTGAAATGGAAATCTTAGAACTGTTTTTACCTCTGTACGATGGTGAGCACATCCTCTAGCTATGCTTTGGAAAGGAAACATGGAAAGGGAATATGGGGAAGTGAGGTCCTTCCATGGAATCCCTTGGTACTGTACAGAGCTGTGAAAGTTGTCCTCATTTATCATTTGGATGTGCTAGCCACAGATTTACCTGTAGGCAAGTTCAGATGTTCACATTCTTTTTCAGATCCTACAGCACAACTGCTATCAGACATATATTCCTGGAAAGATAGAACATGTTATTTGGGATGTTTCCAAGTATAGCTGTAGCTTTCCTGGAGCCATTTTTGCAATTGCAGGAGCACAATAGTTGCAATCACAGGAATTGATTCCAAATCTCTAAGAATGATCAGCAAGCTATTAATAAGCCATGGTGCTGGGCACGTACCAGTGAGATTTGCATAATTACCCTCAACAACACAGCCTTTCATACTGTGTGAACCTGGCCAGAACCAACAGACCACCATGATTAGGTTCATGTGACACAACAAGCTGTGCTTGTAAGCATAATTATGCAAATCCCCCCCACCCATATGTGACCAACATTCATAGTGTACTGAAGAAGCTACCATGGTTTGCCAACTGCAAACCAAGCCACACTATCTATTCATGTCTATTCATGTATGTCTCATAGATCCCATTATTTTCCCTATGTAAAGTCCTCATGAGAACAGTAAGAGTATATCCCCAAGAGACTATCCGGAATGTCTGAATTAAGTCTCAGAGGATATGAAGCCCTGCAAAGGCATAGCCTTTCCCTAAGATAATATATTCTGGCAGATTTAAAAATTGCCAGCCATATAGTGATCTGATCCAGAAACCTACATGCTGTCCCTTGATTTTGTGCAATTGCAGACTTGAGGTTTTCTTTGTGCTCACATGCTAACTCCCTGTTGGTTGTTCCAGAAGACTGGAAGGAGATTCAATCTGTTCCTGAAGCAACGTCTCAGGGTAAACCATGGATAAATGATGCTGCTAACAGCTTGGGTGGCTGCAGTGATAACAAGCTTCACCATGTGATGTCTCTAGTTAATTGGACACAAGATTTGCAACCCAATAAATACTCACATAGCTTCTTCTTTGTTCAATCTACAGTTCAGTTCATTTTGTTTCTTCACTCTTTTTAGAGTGTTTACACAATATAAATAAGAGTTGGAGACACAGTTTAAAGCAGAGAAACAAAAAATGAGCTGTAATTTTTTTAAACACATACCTAAAATAACCTAATATTGAATTGGATGACCATGTCCAGACTCTGTCCATGCATCTGTACATCTTATAAAATTGTATTACACAAAGGATGGCTTTTTATATGAAGGGCTGTCTGTAAACTATTATTTAGAGAATCTTCAAGCCACTAAAAAAAAGATACTGACTTTCAAATTCTTGGCTTCAAGGCTCAAGGCTGGGCCTGACTGAGCCCTGCACAAGTGTTCTCTTATACCTACAGAGTGCCAGTGACTCTGGAGGGCCAGCTCCCATAAATGCACCCAGCCACAATGCATTAGTTGAACATGTACATAGCACCTTATACAGAGAGTAAATATCATGCCACCTTTTTCAATTGGTAGCTGAAGCATAGAGATCAGGCAGCTGGGCATGCCTTCACTATCAGGGCACATACATTGGGTTCACACATTATATTACATCACTCTGTATCTAAGCCATGAGGGGTTGCTTATTTTCCGAGCAACCCAAAATTTGCTTGACAGATACTTCTTACATCTGATACAGAAGGATGGTGCAACAAGCCACCATGAATTCTCGGAGTGGCTTGTTTGTGAAAAATAAGCCACACTGCTGAAACTCTGTGGGGTTCCCATGACATGACAACAGACCACAGCCAATCAGCCATGGTGGGTTCTTGTGTTTTGTGAACCAGTCCATTGACATACAGACATCATATGAAAATGGCATGAAAAAGACAATGCTGTGAGTCTGTATATCCAGCCATTAGGTATAATAGGCATTACAAGTTAATTGTCTGAACTGGTGGATGATCTCGTAAATCAGTTTACAAGATTTACGAGATCATCAGTTGTAAAAGAATTTACAACTTTTATGAGTCATATTTCCATGCAAAAAGAAAGAGTTTAAGGTTAAGACAGATTCCGAAACCAATGCAATGTTATAATAAAAAACCAAAACATGACATGATTCAGCAATGAAAAAATATTATAAAACAGGCATAATTGATCAGCAGCTACAATTAGAATTTACACATGGAAAGGAAGAATTTATTAGATTGCACAAAAAGCAAAAAATGGGGATACCAGCTTGATCTCTCTTTGTCACCAGGCATTGCAACAAAATGGAAATGAAGTGCCATGCAAAAGTATGAAGATTTCTAAAATCAGGGCAGTAGAATGCAACACTAAATTTGCTATATGTGACCATCACTACTGCTCATTGCAATAGTGTCAAGTCTCAGGATAGTCAGAATAAGATTCAGAATAACAAACTCAAGAGTTTGTTTATCCAGTACCTTTAGATCCCAACTTTTCATTAAAAATGCCCAAAATGTCCAAGCACAATAAAATTGACATGCAATGAACGGATGAATAAAGTATAACCAATCTGCAAACACAACAGACAGTGATATACTAAGAGCATATACATTTCTGCAACTTATACACAAATACATAGTGGGCTTCAGCAGTTCCCACGTGTGTTCTCACATCATCGGCAGTAAATTGCAGTGCTGGATGTCTGTTGCTTTTCTAAAGCTTAATATGGAAGCTGAAGCGGGGGCGGGAGGAGGAATTGTCTTTACTTGCAGCACTGCTGATGTGCTTCCTGCTTTCACATTGTGCAGCTGTGTCGTGTTCTCAGCAGAATATTATTTTGCAGCACTTAATTACCCTGGGACTAAAATACTTGCTTTTGCACTCTTTGCGGTGGCTTCTGAAAGCAGAAATTCAGGCAGACTGAAAAGGCATTTCAAGATAGTGGTCTTTGTCATTGCCATACTAATGTATGTTCTGTAATGCTAATGTATGTTTTTGTCTGATGTATGCTGGGTGTGTAAAGATGCACATACAACAGGCTTCACTTGCTCTTGTTCATAAATCTCACACAATGAAATGGGTGATTTGACTGCAGGTTTTGGGGGAGCACCAAGCTTCTTGGAAGGAGGGCCTTCCTGGAAGGAGGGCCTGTGGTATGAGTGGGAGATTAGTGATAGGTGACTATAAATAAGAAGTACAAAGGGGAAGGGAATAGATATTTATAGAAATATAACCATCACCCACATCCATGAATCATTTTCTGCTAATTATTTTGTAACTGATGTAACAAAGGACAAGGTATTCAGACATTATTATGGCTACAGGTCTCTTCTGCAGCTGGGAGACTGAATGCTTGAAACAAACAGAGCACATGTGTTTTTCTGCCATGTTTTTAAGCAGCAACCAATATAATGTTCATAATGCACATTTTATTCCTCACAGATTGACAAGCGACATCAAAGCAAGGACTCTGTTTTCTTCAGAGATGGTGTTCGGAGAATAGACTTCATACTTGCATATGTGGACGATCCAAAAATAGAAGGAGAAAAAAAAGTGGTACGTTTCTTTTATCTGATGTCAGAAGGAAAAAGGTAGAAACTTCCTGGCTGTTTTTGCCTTTTTGTATCATACAAAGTAGTGTCTAGGGAGTGTACAATTTATTGAGAGATAATGAACTTTGGTCTGAAATCCTATTCTAAGTTTGTATCACTTCTGCATACATGTCAAATGCCATTCTAGTGATTGATTTTAATGACAATAACAGTTTTTTATATTTAATAATATATCTGTTAACTTCTGCTAGCACCAGTATGCTGAATCATGTAATTTAGCTTTTAAACACGCGATGACTGATAGTAGTTGAGCTGCAGTCATTGTGAATTATCAGTATTCATGTTTGCACCACTTTGACTGGTTAATGATAGCACTGCACAATCTCACTGCTTCTGTTCTTGTATTAGCCACTCAGTGGAGCTTTTCAGGGTCCTCTTGGACCTATTAGATACTAGCTCCCAGGACATCCTAAACTCACTTAAGGTGGACTGAAATATTTTAATTGGACAGTACCAGAAAAAAAAAATCTTGCATATGCCATGTCTTCAAATTTAGAGCAATTAACACTTGAGGATATTGAGAGGGCACTTGCAAAGGTCTGCATAACCTCTTCCAAATCAGATCCTTACCTTTCCAAGATTATAAAAGGTGATCAGTGGCTTCTTGCAAGAGGGAGTGATCCCATGCATCCTAAAAGAGGCAGCAGGGAGATCATTTCTCTCTGGACTGGAAGATCTAAGTAACTTTAGGTTGATAGAAATACTCCTTTCCTGGGCAGGTTCTTGATCAGATGGTGGCCAACTAGTTCCAGGTCCCCTTGTTTAGACTGATTACCTGGATCCATTTCAGTCAGTGATCATCCTTGGTTTTGGCATGGAAGCCACTTTAGTTTCCTTGGTATGGTGACCCATGTTGGGAGAGACGGAACAGTGTGATCCTGTTGATATTTCTGTGTATCTCAGTGGTCTTTGATATCCTCAGCTCTTGGCATCCTTCTGGAGCAACTGTCTTGAGTTGGGAGAAGTGGGCACTGCATTGCAGTTGTTCCAGTCACACTTGGAGGGCTGTCTCCAGAAGGTGTTTGTGAAATACTGTTCAATCCTATGGATTCTCCAGAATGGAATTTCTCAGGAGTCTGTTCTGTCCCCCAAATTATTTAATATCTTCATGAAGCTGCTGAGTAAGTTCATTTAGAGTTTTGGAGTTTGTTATCATCACTATGCTAGACAAGACTGAGATGCTGTTAGTGGGTGGTTTCCCAGACTGGATGTGGGGGGTGTTCAACATGTTTTGGATGGTGTTATACTCCCTTTGAAGAAGATGTGTATATGTGTAGGGGGTCCTCCTGGAACCATCTTTGTCACTTGAGACTGAGGTGGCCTCTAAAGTACCTTCTACTGGCCCCATCTGGTGGTCCAGCTATGTTTGGACAGGGATAGCCTGGTTTCAGCAATCTATGCAATGGATATTCCAAGTGACTTTACTTCAGTGTTCTGTATCTGGGAGTATTCTTGCAAACTGGTTAGAAGCTGCAGTTTGTGCAGAATTCAGCAGCCAGACTAATATCCAGGACCCATAGGTATGAACATATATGGCCAGCTTTACCTTGTTTGCATTGGCTGCCTGTATGATTCTGAGCCCAATCCAAGGTTCTGTTTTTAATCCATAAAGCCTTACACCAGCTTTGGGGTCACCAGCCTTACTTGGCAGAGCACCTCTCAACCACAATTTTCCTCAACAATACCATCAATAACCAGGAACTTCCTCTAAGTGCCAACTCTAAGGTAGGTTTGCAGGAAAGCAACAAGGGAAGGGCCTTCTCAGTGGCTGTCCCTCAATTATGTTATGATCTCACCACTGAGGTCTATTTGGCCCTAACCTTGCCATCATTTAGCTGCCAGGTTGGGATGGCCCTCCATGTCAAAGCACTTCAAGACATACAAGGCTATGTCTTATATCTCATGCATTTTACAGATCTGCTCTTTATCATATGTTTTAACTGTTATAATTTGTTTTTAATTTGAGTGCATTTTGAAAAATTGCAGCGGAATTGGATTGTAGCATTTTATGAGCTGTTGTAAACTATCCAGAATGTTTTAGCAATTGGGCAGTACATAAATAAAGAAATGCTGGCAGAACAGTTGTGTAGTTGGAACATGCATTAAATATTTTTTTTCAAATGTAGATGAAACGAAATAGGCATAGTGAGGACTGAGATGATATCTGTAGCTCCTCTTGATTTCAGAAACTTAACTGAAAGTCTGCCCATAGAAATTGTCAAGACAGGAATTCCCGACCTTTCTAGATCCATGGGGACATCTGGGAATTTGAGAAACGTGTGGGCACCACCACAAAATGGCTCCATTCCCATTTTAGGAATGTAGACTACCTTCTGCATCTTAGGCACAGACTTTTGTGTCATGTCTATTGGACATTGCAGTGTCTCTTTGATAAAGAATTCTTCAATTCGGTGAATTGCCAATGATTTAATACAGCCAATGTTTCTTTTTAAACATTTGTTTTGGCAATGATCAGCAGTTTAGGTTTTTTAATGGAAGAGATTAATAATCTCTTATTACACTGATTAATTTTGTACTGGAAGAGTCTTTTATATTTACCAATGTGCATGCTTTTAAAAGGATTTATCTGCCTCACTGAATTTAGCAAATGGGAAATGTATTCCCTACAGCCTTTTTATGGTTAAAAGACTGAGATTACAATGTTGTAAGGATAAATGCCGCCTATAATCAATGGATTGAGGATCTGAGAATGCTTTCAATATTTGAATGGGTGACATTTAGACTGTACCTTCAAACGGATGCTTATTTGAATATTTGGTCTCCTTTCATTGGTGTCTTTATTTAATTGATATAATTAAAATTGTGTGTGAGAGCACACACACACACATAGATGGGTGCCCACACAAGCTGAATTAGGAACCCTGCCTTAAGATTTCAATGTACCGTATCTTTTGCTCTATAAGACGCACTTAAAAGTAAGGGGAAATGTCTGTGCGTCTTATAGAGCGAATATATGTGTGCAGTAAGTCTGTCAGATGTGCAGCCCATGGGGAAGTGATGGGGAATGTGCCTGTGATTATGTGCCCATTTGATTCAGAATATTTTTTTTTCTTGTTTTCCTCCTCTAAAAACTAGGTGCGTCTTATGGTCAGGCGCATCTTATAGAGCGAAAAATACAGTAAATCTTTGCAACAGTTATCTCAAGAGTAATTATATTGCCAGCTTTTTGGTACATGCTGGGAAAGCTGTGGCAGCTTCTCTGAGCTGATTACAGTAACTCATTCTCTTATATTTTGGACAGAGGCAAGGCATGCTCAGTCATCAGAATTCTGTTATCCACTTTAATAATTACTCTGCAGGCATAAAATAGTTTAGTAATTCAACCATGGAAACTGTGGTGATGTGGTGCTAGGGATCTCAAACACACAATTATTTACCTTACCAAATGAGATGTTCCAGGGCTATTTGGACGAACCCACATGAAAAAGTGGCATAAAGCTGATATATGTTAGCAGTGTTGACGTGCCTTCTGGGTAGTTTAGAGATCAAAACCTCTGCATAAAGAGTAACTGTGCTAGTCTGTTGTGGCTAGTAATGTGCTCGGAATGCTGAATGTAGCTTATAAACCTGAGTGTGCTTACTTAAGAGTAACACCCACTGAGTTCAATAGAAATCACATATGAGGAGACATGAATAAGAAGCAAGAACCCATTTTGTCAGAGACATTTAAAAATAGCTTTAATTGTACTTAAATAAATGTGCAAATATGCTATAGAAGAAAGTAATATTTTACATTTATTGAACCTGCCCTAAGGTGCTGACTTCTTTCTGAGCTTTGATTCTGGATTTGCATCAATACAACTAGTTAATCAAAAAGGAGAGAGACAGGTAGGGAGAATTGCTTAGATTCCACTAACTTTCCATGGGCGTGTCTGAGTATAATCTTGTTTTACTGCAGATAAAGCTTCTAAATTCTAGACACAAGGGGCAAAGCACTGGGTAGGACCCAGTTCTTTGGTCATAATCTTTCCACAGGCATGTTTCTGGACTACATGAAACTTTTGGTCTGATCCAGCAAGGGTTTTAAATGTTACAACAGTTATTTGATAGAGCTAATCCCCATTTCTTCTACCTTTCCACTCTGTCTGCACATTCTCTTTCATTATTGCATCTCTTCTCTTTTTGTTGTGGATCATGTCATTATACAGGTTATTCAGAAGGTGGTGTTGCACTTAATTGTGCCTAGATGGAATTAGGTGTTCCCTATTATTGCTGTAATCTCTCCACTGCATTCTTCTCTCAAAACTCCCATGGTGTTCTGGGACAAGAATGTTGCTATGCTATCTTATTATCAAAATTATGTATTTTTAAAAACCAATGTGCTGACATACAGCTTATAGAAGGTGCTACAGATTTTCAGGGATCTAGTAAATTCTTTAACTCCAGCTTTAATCACAAAACCAGCAATTCAGCCAGTCCTTTTTTGTTTCAGTTCATTAGATCTTCTCTTTTACTGACCAAGTAGTTTGAGGATCTGACTGTGAGTGATTTGGATTTCTTTATCTGAGAAGGCATAAAAATAATGCAAGAGATACAGACTTATCTCTTTAGATAAGAATGAGAACTTTGTCCTTGGTATTCTTATCACTGCATGATAAAAGAGGTTAGTAAACATTTAGGGCAATCCATACACTGGAGAATAGTGGGATGCTTCAAGTTTTGTACTATCTCATTTTAAATACTAGATTTAAGTGATTTTATGCAGATTGGACAGAGACAAGTTTGCTTGCTTTTAAACACATATTCCTGTGTGTTTAAAATTAGCCACACACATTTTACATGGGCAAAAATGTGATAGCAAATTTGCTTGCTATCAAAATGTACATCATTTGTCATTGAGGAGTAACTTTTCATTCCATGTTGCAACCTGAAAACATGCTGCATGTGGAGCGGTGCAGTCTGCCACTTGCTTATGAGTAAAGT